GTTAACGGTAAAAAAGCATTTTCACTATTCCATGTCATGATATTTTATTTCTTCAATAAATTATTGAATATGATATTACTTAATGAATTCTCAATTAAATTACCATGAATAATGTTCAATAAATACTTTCTTTTTCTTTTTTTTTCTTTTTTTTTGAATTTATGGAAAAATTTTGCTATAATATTAAAAATTATGGTTTTAATTTTTTAAGAACAACTTTGATTAGAAATATGCTAATATTTGAAATAAATTTTACGATTCAAAGTGTAAATAAATTATAGATACATGGAAATATCGTATCTGTATTAACCGAAAAGTTTGTAATCTCTTTTTATGTCTTTATAAAATTCTTAATAATTATTGGAATAAAACAAAGTAAAATTTTTCTTATATTTAAATAAAAAGTAGAAAACTTTGTAAATAATGAACTTCAAATTTGTTACTATTTCAATATACAATTTCACGCGTATACTTGTAATATTTGTGCAAACTAAAGGAATTTATTGTAAATAATTTTTACTCAATTAGATTTTTTTAAATAAGTACATAAAATTCAAGTATATTATTAATTTGTATAATGTAAATAGTAATACCGCGAATGGAAATATCTTTTGTTAATGTTCAACAATTACCTTATTCGACTATGTTATTGTTTGTATTTACAAGTTTTTCATATGTAGTCTTATTATTTTGATATAAAGAAATTAATTTTATATCAATAATTTTCGAGCACTCGTATGAATTTGTCATTGTGTTTCTGTATGAAATAGAGCTGAAAATTGTAATAGTAAGAATAATAATAGAATGAGTTTGAAAACTTAATATTCGATAAAGTTTTAAATGATTCGAGCAAATGAACATACTAATAATAATATGTCGTTCATTTTAAAAGTATATTTCGCTTTCGTTTTGCAGAGAATCGAAACAATATCTAATTTCTGATTTCAAATAATTTCATTTTCACTTAAATTTTTCATAATTTCCATGCCCGATATATAAGCTCGTAATTGATCGAATATGAGAATATATGAATTATGACAGTAGTACGTGTTACGTAATAATTGAAGCAAGAGAGCTATTTCATCCATAAATTGAATAATCACAAAGGTATTGACACGTTTTCATGAATGCGTGGGCAAATAACATCAAATGTAATACGATTGTAAGAACAATAGAGATAGAGGCGAAAGGCGTGAACAATTAACGTGATAGTGAGCGACAATGATCTCATGTAACAGTCAATCGCTATAAAAATCAAATGGCTCTCACGGTTATATCATTAGTTCCGCAAAAACTTCTCATTAAAACGAGCGCATTTTATTTTTTGCCTTAAACGCACTTCCAAAACAAGCGTAAATCTGTTTCGAGTGTATCGTTCATGTTCAATGAACTCTAAACTTTCAGTCTTTTAAAGTACCATTGTTGTCAGTCGTTGATAAATTTCTCTTATAATGCTTAATTATTTGTAACTATATAATTTCTTAGAAAGTTGATGTTTTAATTATTGGATATTTAGTCCAAAGTATTTTCTTGAAAACCCTGGAAAGAAATTAAAATTTTTGGATTTTTTTTAATTATGTCAAATATTAGAATGTCACATATCTTGAAGAAAGAATAGATCATTAGATTTAGAAACAAGTTAAAAAAAAATAAGGGCGAGGGAGGGGGAGGGGAGGGGGGGGGTAAAAATATCTCGAATAATTGAAATCGTCTTTTAACATTACGATGCACTTGTATTTTAATTTGTCCTACAATTTTTATTATTTTATTTATTTCTCCAGTACTTATTGATTTTCACAGTCTTAAAAATGTTTTATAGCATAATTGAAGCACAGTACACGTATTATTACTATTAATAAACAAATTAAATAAGTATTATAAGTTATTTTAAATACGGATTAATACAATGTAATTATTATATTACTAACTAAACGCAAGTTAATCATATGAGTTTATTAAATGTATGCAGTTGTCTTATTGTATTGACTTATATATTCAATATTTAAATATCCAAACTATAATTAGTCAATTATTTATCTTTTGATTATTTGACTTTATAGTTTTAATCAATTATTATTATTATTATTATTATTATTATTTTTTTTTTTTTTTTTAATTTACAAATTTATTAACAAACGTTTGTACTTTCATTATTGGAAAACAAAAAATATAGCCATTTGATTGCATTTTCAAAGAATTAAATTTAATGTTTAAAACGCATTATAGGATATTAAAAATAATCAGCTAGTAATACCTATATGGAAAATATTTTGAATGCTATGCATTATGCCGAACTGCCAAGAGTTTCGCACATAAAAATGTTGATACTTAAAACTTTAAATACAATTTTTACTAAATTACATGTTTTACGTCTACTTGCATTTGATATTGAATAGTTTTTATATGAAACTGATTGATTATTTCATAAATTACTGGACTCTTTCTTTGAATATTTTTTATTAAAAACATTTTTTAACGTGTATTTTATCGTAAATGTGAAACAAATGAATTATGAAGATGATTGAATTCTTATCAGTGTATTAGTAAACATTTATATGGATTCAAATGCTGTATAAAAGAAAAATATTGTTAGAATACAATTCCATATGAAAAGTATTTATTTCATATTACATTTAATAATTAATTTTCAATTTCTAACCTGTTTCTTCAACGTTAATGTTACCTTCTCTATTCATTTATATAGCCCCTAATTTAGCCCAAAAAATTAAATCTATAGATATATTAAAATCAAATATACATAATTATCTCTGCTGATGATTAAACATTAAAATGTAATTTGTTAATGAAAATTTTTGTAAAAATCATATCTAAAGTATCTAAATAAAGTAAATATTCAATATGAACTACATTTTACAGTCACATAATACTTTTACGATCTTATCTATCTATGGATTGTTTCATTTATGTTTAGTTCGTCTTGGACTATTGATTTAATGAGCAATGTCTTTTAAGCCATTACCTTAACTGTCGTATTCAATGGGTTCCGAGGCGGGGGGGGGGGTTTGGAGTGGAATTAAGTAATTGAAAATGTTAGTATAGGTTTTGAAAGAACTACCGATAATTTGTAATACAATAGACATTTTATACCTTTTTTTATTATGAACAAAAACACAAAATAGTAATTATTTTAAATTAACGTTTAAAGTCTTTTTATTTTAAGTTGTATTGATTATTATATTTAAAATTTAGTTCTTACTATAATTATCGGCTTAGTTGCAACAGATTTTAATTGACTTACTCCATACAATATTCTTTTAAATTCCACAACAATTTAAACAAAGTCGGTATAATACTTATTTTTTAATTATTTACTAATGAAAGAATACATCATTGTAATGTAGATAATAATATTTTTATTAGCATTTGATTGGAATAATTTCTTTTTTTACTTCCAAAGCAGGAAACGTAGATTTCTTGTAAGCTTCATCTTGCGTTAACTCAGTATGCAACTAGAAAGTTAAATATACGACCTTAAGGTCGTAGACGTGATAAAAATTATCTTTAGATGTATATACTATTGATCGATTAAGATTCATAAGCTACTCAACGGAGACTTGATCGTACGAAAATCAATTTGCGTTTCACGTAAGTTAAGTGCGGTATGAAATCAAAAAAGGCAATCCTCGATAGAATTTAATATGACTATACTTTGGTATAATTAATGAAATTATTCCATCGTTATGGGAAAGTAATATTTTTTTTATGCAAATATTTAGAATGATAGAAACAAGTATTAGCTACTCTCGTAATACAAAGAGTACAATGGTGTAATTCGTACTTTGAATTTAACTAAAATTAAATATGATATATATATATATATATATATATATATATATATCTGATTCTTATGCTTATTAAAAATATTAATGAACCGAATGAATATCATAAATATTCATATTATTATTCATAAATAATATAATCATACTAATATATATTTGTGATAGGTGCTCCTACATTGAATTGATTTTGCGATGAAAGTTTTAAAATAAATATTGTAAATCAAGCATTATATTTTTTGATCTCGTTATAACAAATTTGGAATGATGAGTTCATATTCCGACTCATTGACGAAATTTTCACTTAGTTAGTCATTCCCATTCGCCTCTTTGTAATAATGATGAAAATGATTAAATGACGAAATTAGATTAAATACTTATTGCTTTCATTGTATTTTTCATTCGCAAGTGAGTTGTTATTGTACGATTATTATTTATAATAATGATGATGTAGAATTATGTAAAAGGCATTCATGAATAATAGAAGTATTTGAAAAAATATGTTCTATAAATATATGTCGCTTGAATAGTCTCTACGTGTCTGTAATATTTATTTTCGACGACGCACTAACTGTGCGGCTATTATCGTTTTCAAATAAATTTTACAAATTTTTTAAACTTTTACTCATGCAAAAGACGAGTATCTCGAGCAAATAGGTAATCACGAATCTCACAGCTATTAACTGAAAAAATATTTTGAACAAAAAACTGTTGATTCGACATTGAAATCTATAATGGTAACGATTACCACATTGGCTACCGCAACTATCATAATGTCGAAACACTTGAATTACCTAGAAAGAAAGTTGAATCCTAAATTTGGCATTTCATTATCGCCTATACACGCACACATTGTCTCAAATTTTGTATTCAACTCTCTTCCGCAAGCATTCCATTTCTATTCTTTACATTTTTTTTCTTCTTTTTTCTATTTTCTTTTTTCTTTTTCTCATGTCCCGATTTCTGAGGCAGTCAAGTTATCAGCCTTACTTCTTCTCACCAAGAGAATACAAATTCTCGTGACTACCTCTTTAAAGCCTTAAAGCGCGAGCGCTTTTGTTTACGCGAGATCCGCTTTTACGACTACCCATACATATTCAAATCGCAGTCGCGACGTGTCCGCCAAGTCTCGACAGTGACGCGAGACGAACGAAAAAACAAATGAAAACCTTTTCTAGCCAAACGTAGTACAAGGAGTACTAGAGCCTAGAGCTTCGCGGTGAAGCGAATGGCCGCACCGATCTCGAGATAAGAGTCGGTTGTTATACGGACAGCTACGTCGAGTTGGTGTGTCGCGAGAGGGCGAGAGGGTGGTCCAGGGGTGACTCGGTCTCGCCTCGATTGCGAGCTCGGGGAAGAAGCATCGGGCAGCCCGGAAGTATGTCATGAGCCTGCGCGACAAGAAGAGCAGCGAACCGTCGACGCCCGCAGCCGCGAACGCCAATCTCGAGAGGTTCGGGTCGAGCTCGTTCGGAGTCCTCGCACTCGATGTCTCCGGCTTCGGACCGAGCTGCTGCTCGACGCCCGCGGGGGCCCGGGCTGCTGGTGATGGCCTCGGAAAGACCGAGAAGCCGCGCTGGGTGTCGCGTCGCGCTGACAGCGAGTGCGAGTTCTGGGACGACTATGGTGTCGTGGAGTTTCTCGAGCTCGGGCTCGCAGGCCCGGACGGCAGTACCTCCGAGGAGAGAGTCCAGGCGATGCGCGAGGCTCTCGCAGACACGGACATACTCGAGGCCGAGGGTGAGCTCACAGATTTTCTCTTCCACGTGGCACGCACGAAGCATGGCAAGGTCTACGTCAGGGTCGTCAGGACGCTGCTGCTTAACCGAGGTAATTCTTGTTTGGGCTTCCAAACTAAGACCGTCCAAGAGAAAGGGGGTGAGTGATTTGTGGGATTCCGCTAACCCAGATTCTTGGCTGATAAATTTCTTTGATACGCGGACAATTCGACGCGATGATAAGAATTGAGATTGTTGAACTTATTATGGCAAATTTTGTGCGCTTTCCACGGATTCCGTGAATCTCAAGTGCTTCACCAGTAACTTAATGGATGATGACTTAATCCCAAAAATAAAGTTCGACTAAATTTGCTTATTTAATTATTCGAGATGAATGTCGTACGAAAATTTGTGATATTTTTAGCGCCCAACGAATATTTTTTTTCAAACTTTGTCAAATTTCTTCAAGTTTATTTTAAACTTGGAGAGATATTTTCATTTTGATATATTTTTACCGTTAAATAACATCAACGTTTATTAAAAAAAAATAATTTGTAATTGAAAATAATAACTGCTACGTCATATGGGCAATAATCGCTGGCATTAGATTGTAAGAAATTGCAGAACCGATTATGAAATTAAGGTAGACGTTTGATTATGTACCTGCAGTATATAATAGAAAGACATTGTACTCTCTTAATTATATGCAATGTTATAAAATATTGTCGTAATTATTTTGAAATTTTTCCCTTATAATTAGTAAATGATAAGAGTCCATTGCGTACTGTTTCTTTTTCCTTTTTCCTTTTCCCTCTCTATCTCTCTATCTCTCCGTCTCTATCTCTCTATCTCTCCACGTTTGACTTTAATGCATTTATCTCTCTATCTCTCCTCTCTTTAAAACTTGAAGTACGTTTGACTTTAATGCATTTATTTTAACATATTATTCATCGTTAAACATCTATGAATATAAAATATTTGTTTTCATAATAATATGATAGCTCATGTGTATAGTGCGAATATTCTAATAGAAAAACACGAGAGTCAAGCTGAATAGCAATAATTGAGTAATGCGACGATAAAATAAACTCGCATTACTTTAGTCGATAAACTTTTGCGCTAAAAATTACAAGTGCCTTAAAAATCCAAAAGATCTACTTGCCATCTTTGGCAGGTAAATCGTATGAAAATAATTGATGTCACCGAGTGCGCAGATATTTTCAAAATTACTCACCTACAATATCATGCCGTTAAATTCTCAAATTGCACTATTCCATTACGTACCACTCTTTTGCGTAAGTAACTTTGAAGATAAGGCGACCGTGAAACGCTAATATATCATAAGAAAAGCGCGTATCATTGGTTCTTACTGACGTTAATATATAAAAGTACCGTTACCTCCGGATGTTTCTCTATATATTATCATTTTATGTAATTCGCGGGCAAATATATTCAATAATAAAGGGCAATTTAAAAAATCCGCGTATAATGTTATAACTTTATTAACGTAAACGGCGATAATGATAAAATCAGTACAGCAGTACATTTGTTGTAACTTTCATATTGCATAAATGCTAAGTGCGTTTAGCATTTTTTTTTTCTTCATTTTTTTCTCCTATTTTTTCATTTTCATACATTTATTTATTCCATTCATGTTTTATGTCTTCTACTTCATTACTTGCACTACTTTTAATCATTAGGATTTCAAATATTGCGCGAGCATGAGAAGACTTGATAATTGCTTGATATTACAAGGTCAAAGAAGCTTCAACAAATATTAATAATTAAATAAATCTTTAAACGGTTTTATACTATATGAAATTCATGATTATTGTTTAAATGGAATTTGTGTTTAGTTTATATTGATTCTATCTCATTAATTGTATAAAGCTCAATCTTCTGCATTTTACTTGCAAATCATAATTAAATAATAAAAAAACAGGAATATTTGCTTACATATATAGGTTTGTTATCTGCGCGTGAGTAAGTTTATTTACTCTCTCTCTCTGTGTGTGTGTGTGTGTGTGTGTGTGTGTGTGTGTGTGTGTTTGGAAAATGAAGATAGAATACGTTTATTTATTTTGCTTGTATATAAAAATAAAAAAAAAACAATTCTAAATAAAAAAAATGAAGAACAATATAGTGAATTACATGTGCATATAATAACTTATTTATGAAACGGGATGTAAGTACTCTTGGAGTTGTTAAATTATTACATCGTATGAGTTGCAGATTTTTAAGAAATAAAAGAGCAAAGATAAACTGCAATTACATAAAAAAATCTTCATCAAATTTTTTTTCTACATACAATATACATTTAATGGCCATCTATATATTTTAGCATAACTATTTGTTTGTAAATTTATTAAAAGTATTATAGATATAACAAAAATTCTTAAATCTTGACATAATCAAACTTTATTATTTATAAATCATTGGTGCAATATTAATTTTTATGCCTATAATAATAATAATAATAATAATAATAATAATAATAATAACAACAACAACAATTACAATAATAATAATAACAATAATAATAATACTAATAATAATGTGTAGATAAATTATTGTTATTTGTCAGAAAAAAGTAGGAATTTTGATTATTTTTTAATAAAGCCTATTACACTTTGTCCTATTTGTTGGTTAAAGATTTCTTTCGCTTATTTAACAAAAATATTTTCAAATTTATCAAATGCAGTTTCACGCTTAAATTAGATTCGGCATATCTACTTAAATTACTGACTCGATACATGAGTAATATTGAGTAAAATAGTTCAATAACAAGTTCAACATATCAATTTACAAAGAATTTAAAAATATTTTCCATTTATTTTGTAGTTAATTATTAATTAGCAAATATTTTATTTGCACACATACATACTTAGTGTACAATGCGTCGTGAAAAATGCTTAAAGAATTTTTGATATTACGATGTCCATGAATACCATTCTATTCCAGAATTATACAAACTTTGATTCAATGATGAAAAAAAAACATTGATTTTTTATAATAAAAATGTAGTATTAATTAATGTTTGGCTATTTTTAAATACAAATATTATTTCTTTTTGACGAGTTAAAGAAATTACATTCCTTTCATTTTAGAATCAATCTCTCAGTTACTCAATTAAAATATTATAAGCTACGGATGCTTCTGATTGAATTTATTATTTGTATCTTAATATTTTTCGTAATATTATAATATCAAGTAATTGAAAACCGAAATGACATTCGGTTGACACAATTGTCAAAGTCCCATTATTGAATAACTTAGCAGGCAATTTACATAACGACAGTGACACATTTGAAAATTAGCGTATGGGGCGACACTAGGTAGAGGAGTAAAGAAAAATCTGCAAGGAAACCGACAACGAATGCGACATTAAAAATCGCCTCGATAGTCAAGCCTTACAACAACATACAACACCAGACCGAAGCAAATTTAGCTTCCTTGCGTCTTCGAAATCTCGACAAGAATTTTGTCAGCGGTGCTCATTTCCAGCCAAGCGATCGGCCAAGCATCCTATAACGAATGAATACGCGACTCGAAAAGTAACATCCTCGGCCAAGGGTAATCATAACACGGCCATCCGCTGCAAGTATAGCTCCCCCCCCCCCCAATACCCCCCTCCTCCTACGAGTTTGCGCGCACGCCTCCGGCTATAGGCCGCGTGCGCGTGTACGACGTTTCCCCGCCCGCGGCCGATCCACTAGCTACTCTCAAACATGGCGGATCGATCAACAGCCGCGTCGTCGAGCACCACCGCCTCCGTCACCGTCGCCGCTGCCGCCACCGCCACCGTCACCGCCACCGCCACCGCCACTTCCAGACGTCGTCGCGCAAAATCGCGCGAACCTTCGCGACCCAACGTTTTCCAGTTCCGGCTCGCCGTCCATTGAGAGCCAATCTCCTCCGTCCAGCCACGCGACCGAGAAACGGGCCGCCGCTCTCCGAGGAGGATGTCCGAGTTGTCGTCGAGGAGAAGGGAGCCTTGTCAGCAAAGAGTCGCCCCAGGATCGGAGCACAAAGTGGGGAGGACGAGAGCCACGAGGCCGAAACCGCGTGCATAACTGACGCACAGGCGCACACGCCAACCCCGCCACCGCCAACAACAACGACGAGGGGACCCGTCCAAGCTGCGGATAACTTGTGCGTCACGCGCTTCTGCGGATTTTCATGCCGAAGGGTAATGTGGCTGGCTAAGCGGCAGTCACCTCAGCTGGATTGCCGTGTACTTCGGGCTAATGTAGTGGGAAACTTTTACGAGTTTTATTCGCGTTACCTGACCTGGCCTCTTTCCAGTAACCCTTTTTCCCCTCGAATCCTCGAAATTGCCTTGGGATTATCTCGGAATTACCATGGATTAGCCCTCCGTACGTCATTATCTTCCAGACGATATTTCTACCCTCTTCTTATATTGCATTTATATGGCATTTATGGTTGTCAGCTGTCACGCATAGCCAGCACATAGCAGCCTCTCTGTGTGCACAACTGTGCCGCGCATCTCTTCGACGCTAGAGAGTAGTTCATTTCGATTAAGTGTATTACACGGAGCGAGTGTGCGCGATGAATTTTACCGAAAAGCCAAGGAAACGGCAGGAAGGGCCTCTCCATAGTCGTCGAGTAAAGTTCCGTATCGTACGTAATGAGAGTCTCGTGCTTGCGGTAATTCGTCATTTTCCCGAATGTTATAGTCAAGTGAAAGTGATTGGAGGAAACGGGACGTTAGAGAGGCAAGTGAGGAAAAATGGAGGATGGTGAAAGAAACGACGGGGCATGCACAAGAGCTAATAAAGCCGGTGTTCGTGTCTGAGGAGGACTCGCCGCGCAAATGGCAAAGTTGATGTCAATCGTTGGTTGGGGTTGGTAGAGGGCGACGGTGAGGGGGTGGCAGACGACGACGACGATGGGGACGGGGGGGGGGGGCGGGGGGTGGGGCAGTGAAAATTCAAGGGTGTAGCAGTGCAAAACGGGCGTGCGCGTCGTTTGACAAAGGCGACAGCTGATTGGCCGAGGCGATCTTATCAGCGGCGTGCGTTTGTGTCGGCCTATATACGTGTGTGAAGGCCATGCGCCAGTGTTTCCGAGTCACTTGCGCAACTACGTATA